CGTAGCAAAAAAAAAAAAGAAGGAGATTCTGCATCAGACATATACTTGATAAGCTTACTTTAATAAAATTAAACTTGCTGTATGTCCAAGGACTTCAAGGTAAGCGCCAAAAAAACTTTTGAATTAATTCAAAATAAAATAAAAGTCAAACTCTTCATAAATGTCTTTTTAAATCTACATCAGATAAAAACGGCAAAAATAATACAATGTAATTCCCTCCGTGGAAAGTAAGTAGAAATGTAAGTTTCTTTAAAAAAGCAAGTAAATAAATTTCATGTACGTAGAATTCATTTTTTTCTCTATTATTATTAATTATATTTAATATATTTAATATATTTTCATTGCAAATATTTTTTTTCTATAAATATTCCTGCGGCTCGATAAATAATAAGACAAAAGTAAAAGCATTTGAGAAAATCATTCGCTCATAACGTATAATTTATTGTCTGCAAAAATTTTCTACACAGAGACTGGCATAAATTAATATGGCAAATTATACCTGTTGTGTTCCCGTATTTATATAACAAGTATACATATCGTAATTTTATTACTGATAAATGTATAATGCGTTCAGCTCTTAACGCATCGTTACATCGGAGGTCATCGATAACGAAAGAAAATCAAACATGCTTCATGCCACAAACGGGCGTATAAATTCTTTATAGAGCATTAAAACTCGATCTATATACGCATCCGAGATCATCATGATCAGATTGCTCTTTCATGACAGTTTTAATCGCGAATTTAGGAACACACTCTCGTTTCTTGTGGGAGGAGCAACTCGGAAAGAATTATTAAAACACTTTTCGATGATAAATTTTCCAACTGCGAAATTCAATTTTTCTATTGAATCAGACAAACCGGGAAACAGGCAATAAAAGAGATTTGCCGTGATTTGTGCTCTCTTCTTAATAAATGCGAAGAATTTTATCAACAAAACTCTTTCCTTTCTCCATTATTGTGTCAACATGTTAACTATATTTAATACATTTTCACAATTTACCTATTGATATTGATACAAATATTACATGCTCTGATCAAGAGTGTAAAATATTTTCCTATAAATATTATAATTATTTAGATGTGCGGGAAGATCCTCTCTCTGGGAAAGGTTAAACATGTGTAAAATGACATTAGAAAAGAAGCATAATGATATGATACTACAAAAGAAAAGGTTGATATTATATATATGAGATGAGAAGAGGTGTACTTTCGTCTGTAGACCACATGGCACAAGATCATGTTGCTCCGGCAAGACGGCGACAATCCGTCTCGGAAAAAAGAAGCATCCGCACAAACGAAGGGCGTGCCGCAAGCAAGGACAAAGCCATCAAGAAGGATAGAAAGCGAACGTAAGACGATTTCGTCGAGTCGTTCCTTGCAAGAGTTTCTCTGGTGAAATGCAAACCATTCTTATATACAGCAGACATACTGTTGAAAGCGGTGAAACCTCCTGGGCTTCTACCAATAAACATTACTTTACTATGCGTACATCCTGCAGTCGTCGTGAGCTGCAACCGCGAAGTGTTTGACTCCGACGGAAAATGCAACAGTAGTGTCAAATATTTTAACGTATAAATTGAAAAATATAAATTGAAAAATTTAACGCTATTTAATTTGTTACTACACCTATAGTCCGAACTTTGTTGCTCAATCGTTGTTGCCTGAGGAATATTTTGGTGTCAAAAATCATGTCTTGCACTTGAATATGGATTAACTTAGAATGTGGTGCGAACGTGGCCGAAATAAACTAATTATTTCCCAGGTATTCGAATTAGCAACAAACGTTACGTTTTGATATGTTTCAATATTACTTATCTGAGAATTATTTTGGAGGATTAAAAATAACTAACAGAAATTATCGACATTTGCAAATTAGAAAGTTCTTCGAGATTAGAGTTACAGAATTGAAAACTCTTTTACACGTTTAAAGTATCTATATACACGAATAAACAGCTGGGATATATTGAAACTTAAAAACGGAAGGATCTAAAAAATTACATATGCATTATACGTAACTTTCAAATTTTTTTCCATTTTTAAGGCTCGAGGCTTAAATTGGCAGTATGATGTCAGAGACAAGAAATGACAAGCAATAAATTAATTGCTACGTACAGCTTCGTTTTTTATTTTTCTTTTAAAAATAATTCCGTAACCCTGAACCGTGGTATACGACAAACTGAGACATCTGTCCGATATGTCATAAAATATTATACTTAATTCATTCCTAAAATAATGATATATTTCTCAAATGTTAAATACGCAATGATTTTTGACAGCTGAGAAATGTACTATTATTTCAGGAATTATTTTATACTTCTACTTGGACAAAGGTCTTAATTTGCCGCACATTTCACAAGTTTCAAGATTACGAAACGGTTTTTAAGAAAAAACACGTGAGTACGCGTTTTAAAAATTTGAGTAAAAAATTCACTCCCAGCTTACAAATGCCGTTCCCACTCAAAAATTAAAGTAAACACTTTAGAGTGACTATTGCAATCACTCTAATATATAAAACACTCTACATACGAGATTTAGAAAATAAATATAACACTCTCTAAATACAATATATAATTAATATTATTATTATATATTACATAAATTGCATCTTCGTGTATTATTTTGTGATGTCACAAATAATAATTATTGTAATAATTTAATGCCAAAATGTCTCATCATTGAAATTAAAATCATATACTATCACGATGATCATGTTTAACGTCATGCGAAAAAAAAATGGGTCTCAAGCTACATGCCGTCGACACGTGAATCATTTTCAATGTCAGGAACTTGTTTTCCGCGAGAACAATGGCCACTGCTACGTAACAACCGCAGTATTACCATTTAACGCCATTTCATTGCAAACTGTATGGATAGAGAACATACAACGAACGCGTAATTATGTCAAATCATTTGGTTACGAATCAAGTATCATTGATCGTATAAACCTCCCTTCAACTTGATCGGTACAGTGAATGACGTAACTGCACTTGAATAATTTCGATCATTTATTCGAAGTAAATTGCAAATTGGATAATTGGCCGGTTTAACGGAACAACAAAGAGTTCTATTCAAAGTAATCTTGAACAATATTACTATCCTTCACATAGTAAATAAAAAAGAAATTCAAAAAGGAATTAAAATTTTATCTTAACAGTGAGGTAGAACGGGGCTGGTTGAGCAAACGCAAATATTTAAATGACTAAAATATATATCGTCTATACTTTGCGTAAGGTAGCACAAAGAAATTACTGCGCTTAAAACAATTATCTGTGTCACAACTAACCTCCGCTTTACTTCGTACGATTCTCTTAATAACTAATCACGTCAGTCGCCAAATCACAAAATCGAAGATTATTTACAGCGTTGATTCTTTTTTTAATCAAAAAAATTAATACACTTTCCGTTGAACAAACAACTAAACTACGAATTATATAATCGCGTTTCGCAATAACAGAGTTACACGTAAGTCGTTGCAGCGCCAACTACACTACTACGTCGTCAAAACTGAAATATCTCAGTCATTGTCTCGATGCCTCTCTCGGTGCCGTGCACGTTTATGTAAACGGATAGGTACTTGGGTAAAAAAAATGAAATTACCGGCGAATCACCGTCACCACATGGATAATAAACGCGAACAAAGGTGTACGCGCTCGCGTAACTCGCTTTCTAACGTCAGATATATACGAGCACCTAATGTTCACGCGTTTATTCGAACTCTCTCTCTCTCTCTCTCTCGAACTCTCTCTTTACGACGAATTGTTTATTCAATGCTACTAAATCATTACCTCTATTGTACTTGTTTCAGATCTAAACGTCCTTTCTCTTGTCACATATGCAGTATAATAAAATCTTTACATAAAACATAAATGCTCGTAAAAACGAATAAAATCGAAATACCTGAATATCTTCGAAAGTAAAAATATTCGTGTGCAGGTAAATAAAATTTGAAGTAAAATCAGTTTGAAAACGCGATTATAACTTCGACATTCGTGAAAAGTTTAATTTGTTTATAATGGGCAATAATAAATAACGAGCAAGGGTTAAAATATTTCAATTTTATTTTTATAAAATAAATACTACAGCAAACACATCAATGTTAATTAAGTGAGCAAATGAGGAAAAAAAAAGAGCAAAAATGCATCTTAATTAACTTCTTTACTTCCGGTTGCAAATTGTTGATTACATTCACGGCACACACGCGTGCGCAGTCGTAGGTTAATTATAAATGTTACACCTCACTGCATACGCTGATTGCGCTAACCACATATAATTGTGCTTAATAACACCGACGTCAGTGGGCACACTATTGTTCTAATACGTCTATGTACGCTTTTAAGAGAAATCGACATTCGATATACTATCGAGATCAATCGAAATAGAAATAGACCGTGCCGTCGTTAATCTATAAATTATAAATTCCCCTTGAAAAATGTTTCGAAGTAGAAATCTTCGATCAAGATTTATCGATACAGACAAAAGTGTCTGTAATTACGGGTCTATTTATCCTAAAAACTGACACGATGTGGATAACTGTTTTCATAACAAGCGTAATTTTCAGACGGATCGCCGTAATGAGAAGACTTTCACGTTTTTCAGGATAACGAAAGGAAGCTGACGCAAATTATTAGTTATGCAGCATCGCGTGAAGATGCGCTCCGACAGTTGAAGTACGTAATCTTAAATATTTGCGAAAAAACACTTTTCTTATCGATTACGCGGCAGCTCGTGTTGGCTCAGCGCTTTGTACAATAAACGTGCATTTCGCGCACGTGTCTCGCGCGAGAAATGTCGATCGAATTCAGTCCTCTTCTACTATATGTAAGTGGAAGAGACAGTTCGTGCGGACGGTGTAACGTGTAAAACGTGCAATGGATTTGAAGGGATTCGCAAGGTGAAACGACAAGTTACTTGTCTCTTGCATAATCGAATGTGATCCCATTCTCTCCACGGTGCCCTCAAAAATGAACGACATGTATTTATGCGAAAGCTTTATTTGCGAAGTTCTTATCGACAAAGATCATTAATCTGTATGGCATTCGCGAAAAAGTAGATTTTTTTTTTTTTTAATAGTGTACCGATCACGATATACACGATCACAATGATTATTATAACATTCGATGTAACTTCAGTATATACTGGGCTCGTCGTTTTGCGGACATATCGGCTTGCGAATCACCACCATGCGTAATGTACTGTTGTAAAATTCTCGTGGATCGTCCCGACCTATTCTTTGATCCCGCGTTCTTGACTCTATCGTTTCAGGCACGTTGACGATTTCATTCCTAAGAGATTCGATTAATTATTAACTTGCTTTATTTTTGGTAAAAGTAGCAGGGAGCTTGAAGATTAGTCTGATAATTTAGACTTTGTATAAAAGAAATTTTTCAACCGGAAGAAATATTTTTTTAATTTTACCCCTAAAAAATGTAAAACGCAAATCACGTAAAATTTTTGTTTTTAAATTCGCTGTAACAAATTGCCTGAAATTTGGACAAGAGCTGACGATTTCTTACAGTTACATTGTCTGAATTTTCGAACAGAATATTGTATCAATTTCTAGCCACACTTCTGAATTTCTAGAATTCAGACAATGTCTGAATATTTAGGCATTGAGATCAGAAATATTTAGATACTGTAGCTCGAAATTCAGAGAAATGTGGCTAGAAATTGATACACTATGGCTACAAATTCAGACAATATTCTGTTCGAAAATTCATACAAGTGTGACTAGAAGAAAACTTCAGCTTTTGCCTGAATTTTTTATCAGCGTTAGTCATAAACGAGAAATTAAAGAAACAATGATAAAACTTGGAAGTTTATTTTAAGCTTAAAAATGATGCGCTATCTAACCCTCTCTAACTGCACAGCAATTCTTGCGACTTAAAAAATAATTATCTTTAAATTACTTGTAATCTTACGTATAATTTAGGTATATTATCTCGAAATGTGGCTGAAGGAGGGTCGGCAAGGAAAACGAGTCGATGAATATTCGCGTGCATACAGAAGCGTGGTTTCACGGGGAACATCCTCACATCGCACACGTCGTGTTGCGTGCACGTGGTGCATCGTAGGACGACGACTTTTACTTTCTAAAGCAATAAGTAAGACGCTATCGCGCGAACTTACTCACGCGCACGCATACGCGCACGCGCGCGCGCACGCATGCATGCGTTCATAGAAGACCAGAATAAAAACCACA